ACATGTCATAACTTAAATTATTAAATGTGTTGCATAGAAAAATGGTAGATTTAATTATTTCATAGTTCATTTAATGAAACAATTAACTATTTAATGATATATTCAATAAGTAAATGGTACATCTGATTGTTTGTGGATCAATTATTTATTTCCTGTTTTGGGATTAGAAGTATTTTGGAGTTTAATTTCATTTAAGACTGTGATTTAGTTTTTGGAAACTGTTTTTTTTTTTTTTTGTTGTTTGGTGGAAAAAGGATGTAATTTATGATATTTTTACCACTGGAAGCATATCCATTAAAATCGGATTTATTTCTAATAAAATGAAATGCCAATCTGCTAATCGGGGGATTTATGGGACTAAATTAGTACCATAAAGTTTGTTCAAAACCTTTTTTTTTTTTTCATAACTGCAAAAAAAAAAAATGGAAAAAGAAAAACAAAGTTAGAAACTGAGTTAGAATAATTTCAACCTGAGACTTTTCAGGTTTTTTTTTTTTTTTTTTTTATATATTTCCTAAATTTTTTAAGTTCTATGTATATATAGAACTATATAACTATATATATAGAACTATATAACTATATATTCAATAAGTAACTGGTACATCTGATTATTTAATGGGACACTAAATGGTACATTTATATTTAATGATATATTTACTTATTTAAAATTGTCCTCTTTAACCCTCCATATAAAAAGTTAGATTTGTGATTTAAAGGAGAATGTCATCTATTTAATTTTTTTTTTTTGCAATATGGGTTTACTTAAATTTGTTTTTTAAGCAAAATGGCGGCCAGCCAAGAAAACCTAAAATGATTGCTTATTAATGAGACTCACATGACATCAGAAAGGCTTATTGGTTCAGGGAGTTTTTATTCACTGATGACAGGATGCACATTTCTCACATCAGCTGCTGCAAAGTAAAGAAGGTTGGAACCATTAAGTGCTGCGTCAGAGCGGGGGGGGGGGGGGGGTTCCAGCCCGTAAATCAGAGCAGTTTATTTATCATCTTCCCGTTTAAAACATCTTCTGCATGTCAGTCCTGCATAGATACCACAGAGTAGCGCAGCCCAAATCCACTGAAAACACGTTAAAGAGAAAACCGGATCGTCCCGCTGCACAGCGAAGCATTCAGGTGTTCTAATACTTTCACCCTCATAGTTAAAAATAGCTAACAAAAATAAGCTGCTATTTTTTTTATTTAAACTTACATTTTTGGCATCAGGACTTTTTACCAAGAAGCTTTATTTTTATTTTTTTAAATGATAATTTTTGCGTCTGGGTCTTTTAATACTCTGTGGTATTTATGTTTTACGGCAGCAACTGAAAACAGAAAATTACCGATGCAAACAGAATCCCTGAGACTCGTTTTTACACACTGCAAAAAATGAAACATAATGAATCTTTATTCCTTGAAATACGTGTATTTTCCATTTGAGCAGGTTAGTAGGAAAATTTGCAAATGGAACGATTTACGTTTAAAATAAGAAAAAGAAAAAGCGTGACCTTAGTTCAAGTACATTATTACCCCGTTTCCACTACCCTCTGAAAACCGATCCGTGCTGCGCTCGGTTCCCTACGACCGTTTACACGCCGCGCTAGCACGGTTTCCCGCCTCCTAGTGGCGATCTACGGTACTACTGCTCTCTAGAAGCAAACCAACATGGCGGCGCCTGTAACATTCAGGAGGTTTGCGGAGAATCAGGCGAAGAAGGCAACCTTGGGAAGTGGATACGACAAACGATAGAGCTTCGTCTGGAAGCTAATTAGAACTTCTAGAAGCAGGAAACAACGGATATAGAGGTTGATCGCACTGCTGAGCAGAATCATCACTGGAAATCGTGCAGCACGGCGGAGAAGCTAGCATTTTTATCAATACTCATGATTACGGAGGCTGACGGTAAGGAGATGACTCATGCGTTCTTTGTTATCAGAGAACTGAGCGCCGGGCGCTACTAATGAACTAGCACAACGCTAGCGCGGTTCGGTTACGTCTGGCACGGTCTGGTTCTGTTGTGCGTTCCATTTATACTCAACGGTTACCTGGGTTACCGTGCTCCGACCGATCTTGGCACAGTTACAAAAAGGGTAGTGGTTATGGGGCTAATTCCTACGGAGCTAATTTAGTGCCATTGTTGTAAATAAAATACAAAAGAAAAATTAATCAATTAGCAATTAAACTTAGCATATTTTATTTATTTTTTTTTATTTTCTTTTCACATTTAATTTAATGAACTGCATTATTTTCGAATTATGTTTCCGAAGATATTTTTATTGGTCTGTAGTGGAAAGCCTGTCCTACAAGTTTAGAGAATGTGATCTGTGAAATGAAAAAAAAAAAAAAAGTATAACATTTGAAAATATAAAACCTGAAAATAAAAAATAAAGTTGAAACTTTTAAAAAAATGTTTTTTTTTTCTTGTCATTTTAATTTAGCACACAATAATGGAACAAAATTCACTCCATAAATATCATGTAATTTCTTTTTAAGGACACAAATACTCCGTATATTGTTCGATCATCTCATTTACCTGCTCAAATGAAAGCGAATACACGTATTTTATGAAACAATAGATAATAGATTAGGTTTTGCAGTGCAAAAAAAGAAGAGGAAGCGACATCCTATGGCAGAGCTTTTACTTTGCATAAGCTTCGTACAATGAATGAGGAAAAAAAGCAGAAAGAAGCTGAAGAAAAGTGAACTCAGAAACCCGACAAGCTGTTAGAAACGCCTTCATGGTTCGATTCCCGAGAACGTAGAAAACTGGAATCGCTTACAAACAGATTTAGTAAAAACCAGGAGGCAAAAAGTGCTCGTACAAAAAAAAAAAAACAACCAACTTTATCTATCTACACATTTTTGCGCAGCGTTAAGGTAGGAGTCGGCTGATGGGAAGGATGCAGGCTGTCCTCATCCACCTGTAAACGACGAGGACGCCGTGTCCTGCAGTCCTCCGTGTCCCCGGCTGCACGCTCCGCTCATTGTCTTCAGCAATAACTTCATTTCACCGCCTCTGCGCCGCTAAGGTGGATCTTTTTGGGACAAAGTGCTAAAAAAAACTCCCTCAGGTCTCGTCGTGTCACTCGGTTTCTAGCTCCCTGAGAAAAGACTCGGGGCTTAGACCAGAGCCGAGTCCCAGAAAAACGCAAATAAATATCCGACGGTGTCCCTAAACGCTTTAAAGCCCAGAGACTCATTCCTTTCTCTACGGAGTCGACTTAAACTTTGCACTTGTTACCAGGAAGCTTCATGAAACCACGGAAACTGAATGTTTGGATGATTTTACGGAGTTAGATTGAGGCCATGAAACTTTTGTTTTTTTTACTTCAAAAAAAGCAATAATACAAAAGCTGCAAATGAGTTTGAAACAGAAAAGAAGGTGAATCGTGTTTATTTCAGAACATATGAACCGGAGCCGTAGAGATAGAAAAGCTAGCGTGAGCGGCTAACTCCTATGGAACTATTGAACCGCATGGCTCTTTGAAATGTTGCCAATTGTCGTCAGAACCCTTTTATCTCTACGGCTCTGATATAAACATAGAGCATCAATGATGCTTTGAAAATCTCTGCTTCTCACGGTTCCTAAACGCACTTTTTCTTTTGAGTTTAATATTTTTTTTTGCAGTTTTAAATACTTTTTTTTTTGTTTTAAAAATAGTTTTCTGTTTCATATCTTTTTTTTTTTTTTGAGATTCCAAACATTCTTTGTTGAATTTTTTTCAACAGTATAAAAAATTTTTTTAAACAAATTTATGGCTCGAATTTATCCCCATACTACGGTTCCTGAACGGAACGCCTTGAATTTTTCAGTCCAAACACCAAACTGTCATTATTCATCGCGGGTCTGACACGCCTGGATAAAATGGCTGAAGTGCCTCCTCAGGACGCAGCGTGTCGGACCGGGGGACAGGAAACGCCCCCCAGTGATCCAACCTGCGGCGTGACGCTGTGATGTCATAAACCGTGGTTTTCGCTCCTACATTAACTATGGTTTTGCTTTCCAGACCCTGGATGAGTCCCTGGACTTTAACCAGCAGTGAATCTAGGCGTGACCTCTGACCTTCCTCCCACTCTACTCTCACTCTGAGGTTTCCGGTTTCCTTCCTGCGGCGGTTTCTAAGTGCCGAGCTGTGCGGGTGAGGAGGGGGCCCCGGGGTCCTGGGAGGGGAAGCAGTCTTCAGAGTGAAGGAGCTGCAGGGCGCTCTGACCGTAGCTCAGCGCGGTTCGCTCCTTCTCCTCGGCGCCGTACAGCAGGGAGTGCGGATGCACCTGCAGGATGTGCCGCTTGATGGTGCTGACCTTCAGCGTGGCCAGAGCGGCGCCGCACACCATGCAGATCAGACCGTGTCTCCTGCCGTCATAGTCCATCAGATACTCCACTCGCCAGCGCGCCTGGTAGTTCCTCCTCTGGTCCTTCCCGGGGTAATGTCCGTGACGAGCCGCCGCCGCCGCCATGCCGGAGCTGCTGGACTTGCTCCTCTCTCCACTCGCGCCCTCGTCGTCATTCGGGGGCGCTGTGACATCACAGGCGGCGTCCTCGTTCCCTCCTTTGGTTGTGCTGAAGGCGACGGATTCACTGCGGTTTAATTCTACAAAGATTAAAAAGATTTTAAAAATATTTAAAGAATCATTTAAAACGATGAATTTAATAAATATCAGATTAAATCATTATTAATAGTCAAAAAGATTAATTAAAAAATTAAATGTTCAAATAAATGAAATAATCCATAATTTATTAATGTTATAAAATGATGAATAAAACATTTTTTTCTTACATCATTTAAATTGGTCAATTAAATCCTTAAATGTCTAATTGAATAATTATATATTTAAAATTATTAATTATAGATAAATAAATATTAAATAATTATAGATACATTTAAAATGTTGAAGAAAATAATTTAATTTCCAAAACAAACAAACAAAAAAATCAAAAAGAATGATGAAAATAATGAAATGTACCATAAAATATAAAAAATCATAAAAATCATGAACTAAATAATGAAATAAATGAATAAAATGTTATAAAGTGACAAATTAAATCAATTAAGTTATGATTAATTAT